GGTCCCTTCCAGTCCTAGAATCTATGAATCTATGAATCTATGAATATTGGCTGTATACTTGCTTGATTTTTAAGTAAGCTTTGTAAGGCATTCGGTCAGCTTCTTTAGAAAGGAATTCACAAAGTTAAGTGCCCAGTTAAGAAGCACTTAAGGAACAATGCTCCAATCCACATAAGAAGTCTTCCTGGAGACATTCAAGATACCATGTGAGCAATGGCTTCTGCCTGTAAAAATTGTGACTGCATGGACGTGACTTGCCCAGGTGACTCCAGAACTCCATCTTGGAGCTGGACTTTGCATAGGAGAGAGGAGGGAGTCTCCACCCACAAAAGAAAGTCTATTTAAGCCTGTGGGAGACCCCTCCATTTGGTCTTCAGCTGGCTAAAGAGAGAGCCTCTCCACCCCAAGGATATCTGAAAGAAACTGGAACAAAGGACAATAACCACAGGGGGTGAGAGTGATTGCTGGACCCAGACTAGAAGGAGACTAGTCTGTAAAAGGAAGCTTACTGGTGAGGTTTTTATCTGTACTCAGTTGTATTACTGTATTAGACTTAGATTTGTGTGTTTTATTTTATTTTACTTGGTAATTCACTTTGTTCTGTCTATTACTACTTGAAATCACTTAAATCCTACTTTCTGTATTTAATAAAATCACTTTTTACTTATTAATTAACCCACAGTACGTATTAATACCTGGGGGGAGAGGGGGGACAAACAGCTGTGCATCTCTCTCTATCAGTGTTACAGAGGGCGAACAATTTATGAGTTTACCCTGTATAAGCTTTATACAGGGTAAAACGGATTTATTTGGGTTTAGACCCCACCGGGAGTTGGGCATCTGAGTGTTAAAAGACAAGAACACTTCTGGTAGCTGCTTTCAGTCAAGCCTACAGCTGTTAGGGGGACGTGGTTCAGACCTGGGTCTGGGTTTGCAGCAGGCTAGCGAGTCTGGCTCAAACCAGGCAGGGCACTGAAGTCCTAAGCTGACAGGGCAGGAAAGCAGGGGCAGAAGTAGTCTTGGCACATCAGGTGGCAACTCCCAAGGGGGTTCTGTGATTCAACCCGTCACACATACCACTAATGTCAGACTGACAGGTCTATAGTTGCCCAGATAACTCCCCCCCCACCTTTCTTAAATATACATACTATATTTGCTATTTTCCAGTCATTTCCCCCAATTTGATAGATCAGAGGTTCTCAAATTGGGGGTTGGGACCCCTGAGGGGGTCACGAGGTTATTACATGGCAGGGTCGCAAGCTGTCAGCCTCTACCCCAAACTCTGCTTTGCCTCCAGCATTTATAATGGTGTGAAATATATAAAAAAGTGTTTTTAATTTATAAGGGGGGGGGGTCACACTCAGAGGCTTGCTATGTGAAAGGGGTCACCAGTACAAAATTGCTACTGGACTTGCAATTTCATGTGCCAATATTTTAATTCTATTTGCTCGATTCAGGGATGTGACTAAGACATTTCTTGTACTTAAAATTCAGTTACTGTTTTAGAGAGACTACTTTCCTGAATACGGTGCTGTACATTAAGACTGAAAAGAGCACTGCATTTCATTGTAAACACAGCTCTAGCTGAGAGCATAATAAAAGCTCTGCCTTTGCTACAGCACAGCCGAGCCAATACCATAAAAAACTACTTATTGAAATAGCTTATCAGTGAGCACATGATAGAAAAAGTTACAAACTATAGCCTACCTCTAGTCCTGAGTAACAAATAATGTATTTGACGCCTTTTGGCTATTTGTGAAATTCTTGCATTTGTTCATTACAATTATTTGCAGATTTTCCAGCAAACAATTCTTGCTTTGCTGATCTTTTGCAAATTATAAATTGGAAGCGGGGGATTAAATTACTTTGTAAGTCGTGTGGAGTATTATTATATTCAAGGCTGTAGAAATGCCTACAATGAAGATTACCTACGTTTTCCACTAGAACTGCCTAATTTCAGTTACAGTCCCCCCCGATTTGGAATAGCTCTAGCCTGTGATTTGGAGTAGCAAGTAGGGTCCAAGAGGTGCCTTTTGCTTTTCCCGGGAAAATTCACCCACATTTGGCCAAGTTACAAAACATGGTGGAAAATCACCATTTTTAAAACATGGAAAATCAATGAGTTCTAATAGGCCTATAAAAATGGTGAATGCTTTTAATTGTCTGAAATTTCCATCTGCACTGTTCAGGCTCCTAGGCCCTGCTGCAATTCCTGCATTAGATCAACACAATTGGCACAGAGCTAGAGTAACAGACAGGACAGAGACAATACGGATTCCTCCACATCTTCTTGTTGCTTTCCCCCACCAAAATACCCATTGGCCTAAGGGAACTTACAGTGGGTTGAGAGCCTTGAGACCATGAGTTCTAGCTTCACCTTTTCCACTGACTAGTATTACTAATTCCATGAGCAAGGTCTCAGACCCCTACTTCAGGAAGCTGGCAAGACTCTGGGTGCTCAACTCAAGACACACAGGACCTCGCTTATCAAAGGAGCTATGCATCCACAGGGTCTCCTTGACCTAACGCTGTGAGTTGAAGCACTTCAGAAAGTCAAGCTCTATGTATCAAGTTGGGCAGCCAGAAAACAAGGAGCCTGCTATTAGTGCCCACTTCAGAAAATCTGGTCTGAGCGACTTGCCTGACACCATTCAGGGAGGCTGTGGTAAAGCCAGAGATAGAACCCAGGTCCCAGTCCAAAACCTTAACCTCCCATTCAGTGGGGCTTGGTTAAAACTTCAAGGGTGAGTGAGATTTAGAGCCGCTCCAGCCCCATTGGGGATTAGAAGATGGGCAGCAGCAGCAGAGGGCTTGCGTAGGGCACAATCCCAACAGAAAGGTAGCCAAGAGCACGTGCAGGACCGTGGCTCCAGCAGCACATGGTAACAACCTAGGAAGCTGAGAGCACACACAGGTCTGTGGTTAGGAACTACAAGTTATTCATATTACCAGGAACTTTCTGCTTCTTTCTGGAAAATTCTTCATAATCTTCATCATCCTCTCGCTCAGATTTCCTCTTTCCTCTGGAAGGTGATTCTCCTGTGAGGTGTCAGAGAATGAAGACAAGTCAGTCCTGCTGAGGCTCGGGGAGTGTAACATCACACCTAGCTGATCTCCATCCGCCGCTTCAGTTTCCCCTTATCTCCAGTGATGCTCTCTCGGTCTTCAACATGGTTTGGTTGCTGAGGTGACTTAGCCCTGTGGCCAAGTCCCAAAAAGTCCACACCCCTTCTGGCATATCAAAGTCCAAACCAACACAAACCCAAATAGTCTTCTGCCCTGCTATTAAGCTGGGCACAGCCTTTCCTTCCCAAGGGTCTATCTTCCCTTCCAACCCTGCCCTTCTCCTGGGCTGAGCTCTAGCCCCACCTGGGCTCTGTTCAGTCTCTCTATCCTCCCCTCGTTTTCAGGGGTCATTACAGCTCCTTGCTGGGTGGCAGCATGGGGAAACTCGTTCACCTCTTCAATGCATTCCCACTCCTGGGAACACAAACAACTAGGCTTTCTGCCCCCTGGAGTGTCAAATGGCCTGTCCCTCCAACCCACTGCCCTCTTCCTAATCTTTCATCCCTCCCAGATCCCCCCCAACACACTCTTTTATACAGCACTGACTCCCAGGGCTGTTCTCTCTGCAGTCCCTCTATGACTGAATCACCAGCTCCCCTTATTTCTCCACCATGCCTAGTTTAGTCATATGACTTCGCTCATTTCCTCCACCTGGGGAGGCAAACTAAAAGTATGGCACAGGTGCAACTGAGCCTCAACCCTCTTAAAGGGCCAGCTTACCCTTTAAGACAGGAAGCAACCACTTGTGTGCAAGTGGGAGGTAAGGAGTACAGCTGACATGAGAGCCAGAAAGAATAGTCAGAGATCTGAAGGGTATCACCACCAACTGCTCACAGCCACGTAAGCAGTAACACAGAACAGCCACATGCACCTCGGGGACTTATGAGGAACAAGGCTGAAGACCTGGGCCCTGTCTACCCTAAGAAATAACAAGTGGGTCACCCTGTCCAACCCTCAGCTGGAGCTGAAACTGATTTGGTGGTTAGTACAGACCAGAAACAGAAAGTTGTTAGGTTTTGGATGAACTCCTTCTGTAATGGATACTCAAGATGCTTTGTCCCTGGGTTTCATAGTTGCCGAACTGCATACAATCCTAGTCAAAGGGAAGCCAAAGGAAGACTCAACAAGTGAAAAAGGGGTGAGTTAAGTGGCGAACACTGAACCAGTGATTGTTTTGTCAGGAAGGTAGAATTTTTTGCAGGATCTTGAAAGGACTGGAAGTGCCGCACTGCTCCCCAGTTCTACGCAGAAAGAGAGAAGCCACACACCCCCCACTGCCAGAACCAAGAGGATGGAGAATGCACTGGAAAGTTTGAGAGAAGGAGTATAAAACACCTTCCGGAAGAGTTTGCTCCTCTGCAATATGCATGGAAATGGGGGCCAAATCAGGAGAAAAGATGCAGGGAGGAGCCCCTTATTTGGGATCCTGAGGCCCATGTCCAGAACAAGGAACTGGCAACCAGCATTTAAAACTGACCCTCAGCTGCTGCTCCCAAAATTTCCAGTCAGATCCCCATTAGTCATGAAACTGCTGCAGAGTCTGCTACAGAGTTAGTATTGGCTCATGTAAATCACCTGCCCACTACAGCCATTCTCAGGGGGAAGCTCCTCATCCATAACAGAAGAGATTCCAGGAAGGCTCATCTGACCACCCATTACTGCCTAGTTTGCATTCTGCTTGCTGTAAGGCACTGAGACACCATGAACACAGACAGGGCTCCCCCACTTAGCGCACTGGGGGAAGAAACCCACACATAGGACACACAAATGCTGATGCGCCACACACATGGGATCTTTCCTCTCAAAAATCAGGGTTGCCAACTCTTATTGTTTTAGCATGACTCTTGTGATATTTTGTGTTTGTCTTTAAGTCCCAGCTCCTGGAGTGATCCAATTACATGAAAATCTCTACTTTCATGTTAAAAATACCCAACAAGGTTCTACTCTCATGGTTGCACCCAAGTGGACTGTAAGAACTCAAAAACCAAAAGGAAAATCCAAAGAAACAAACTTTTTTTAAAATATGATTTTTAAGCCAAATTTCATGATATTTGAATGCCTGGGGCTAGCAATACTGTGATTTCCCCCCTGCTGTGTACTGGTGTCTCAAAGACAGGTTTTCAACTGACATAGGACCAATCCCTACACATGCAGAACCTTCTCAGCCAAGTTCATGCCTCCTTTCACACTGCACCAGTTTTCATCCAGTATAGACACCTGAATATCAGAGGTCTTCCCCATCATTAACTAACAGGTTTCACCTCATGGGATATGACATGCAAGATGCATTAGTACATTAATACAAAAGGTCCTAGCCCATTCTAAATCAGAAAATAATAGATGTTAGAAATGGAAAGGACAACTTCGTGCCCATTTCTAACCCCCAGGACCACTGCTGGCTTGCTCTCTTTTGTATATGTTCTAGTGTTATTTCTATTTTCTAGCCTAGTTTTAAAATTCCTATGCAAAGCATTCTCCCGAAACACTGGCAGAGCTCTCACCCACAGATAAAGCAGACCTGTAGTCATAGTTTCATTGATCTTAAAGGCCAGATCATTTAGCCTGACCTTCTGCACAAAACTGACCATAGAATTTTACCAGTAAGTTCTGCAGTGGAGACAGTTATTCTTCCTTAACCTAGAAAAGACACTATTGAGACTATAACTTGTGGATGAACTGTAGCATATCTTTCAGAAAGACATTCAATCTTGATTAAAAGAATCAGTGAGAAGACAGCTTTGCCCAGTACTAAGGACTCTAAAGTACCTTTCTTCTCTGAGGATTTATTAATATTGGTTTTTATTCCCCTCATTTCCAGCCAGTCAGTGGGTCTGCGAATAGCCCGCTTGCCCCCAGATTCTGAGCTCCCGCTCACTCGACCCTTGGAAGAAGTAGAAGAAGAATCACTGAAGCACTCATTGTTATTGTCCGACCCTAGGAGACTAGTTTCAAACTCCTCGGACCTAGAAAAAGAAAATCCTAGATATAAAACAAACATCAAGATGGGTACATGCACACATGCCGATGCAATTAGTCTGACAGCAGAGCATGCTGCTTTCATCTTCACAACCAGTCTTCGAGCCCACCCCACAGTTCACTAAACCTAATTTCTTTTTTATTAATAGTAATGTAGTGTCTAGGAGCCCAGTCATGGACCCAGACCCCAGTGTGCTACCCACTGTACAAACACAGAAGAAGAAGGCAGTCTCTGCCCCAAAAAGCTCACAATCTAAGTATAAGACAGGAGATAACAGATGGATACAGACAGACAGGGGAATACAAGGAAATAGAGGCAAGACAGAATACAGTCTGCAGGACAGACATCCTGAATGTTGTATACAGTGTTGTTGGTGCTGTGATCAGTCCCAGGATATGAGACAGTTAAAGTGGGTGAGTAATATCTTTTAGTAGACCAATTTCTGTTGGTGAGACAGACAAACTTTCGAGCTACACAGAGCTCTTCTTCGGGTCTGGGAAAGGTACTAAGTTACTCCTGGGGGGATTCTGCTCCACTGTGCAATGCAGAATTTGCTCAGAAATTAATGTTGTGCACGCAGAATTTCATTTTTCTCCCCTCAGAAATGGGCTGCAGAGCTGCTGGCTGCCCCTAGGAGCCGCTGGACCCAGCAGAACCCAGCTCACAAATACAGTAACTCCTCACTTAAAGTCGTCCCAGTTAACGTTGTTTCGTTGTTAAGTTGCTGATCAATTAGGGAACATACTCGTTTAAAGTTGTGCAATACTCCCTTCTAACGTTGTTTGGCAGCCGCCTGCTTTGTCCACCCCTTGCAAGAAGAGCAGCCCGGCGGAGCTAGCTGGTGGGTAGTTGGAACCAAGGTGGACCGACATCTCTCCCCCGCCCCCCACATCAGCTCCCCGCTCCCCTAAGTTCCCTGTCCAGCAGCTGCCCAGCAGGCTAGCAATTGCAGCTGTCCCTCCCCCCACTGCCATGTGCTGCTCCTGCCCTCTGCCTTGGAGCTGCTCCCTGAGACTCCTGCTTGCTGTGTGTGTGTGGGGGGGGGAGTGGGGGGCTAATGTCAGGGTGTGCTCCTCCCCCCTGCACCCCACTTACCCCATCTTCCATAGAGCAGGGGGGACACATGACAGAGGGAGCTTCCAGGCAGCAGCAGTCTGATCTCAGCTTGCTGATCTAATTAACAAGGCAATGTACTTCTGACCCCACTCTTCATACTTAAAGGGGAAATGCGCATCTCTCTCTCACTCTCACACACACACACACACACACACACACACACACTCTGTCTCCCCTCCCTCCTTTCCTGCTGCCTTGTACAGTAGAGTGTGAGAGTTAACCCTTGAGGGCTCAGCCAATTGCTAGTTCATTTAGCAGTAAGGCATTCCCTGGAAATACCCCACCCTGACTCCTCCACTTCAACCAAGCTTCACAATCATCATCTCTGCATACCAGTATTAAATTGTTTGTTTAAAACTGTGTGTGTGTGTGTGTGTGTATATATATATATAGAGAGAGAGAGAGAGAGAGAGAGAGAGAGACTGTTGTCTCGTGAAAAAAATTTCCCTGGAACCTAACCCCCTCATTTACATTAATTCTTATGGGGAAATTGGATTAGCTTAACATTGTTAAAGTTGCCTTTTTCAGGAACATAACTACAACGTTAAGTGAGGAGTTATTGTAGACGACACTGTCGGGGGGGGGGGGGGGGGGGGGAGGGAGCTAGAGGGTTCTCAGCAGCTACAGTTCTCAACATGCCCTGAAGGAAGGAAGCATCCTGCAGGAAACTCCATACAAGCCCAGGACTCAGCATCTGGCTGTTTCTTCCTCTGGATCCCTGAGCTCTTGAGGGAGGAGGGGGTGGCTGGTGGTGGGGAGGGAGTCCGCAGCTGGGCTCTGGAGAAGAGGGGATGCAGGAGTCTGGACTGGAGGGTGCCCCACAGCTGGGTTCTGTGGGGGAGGGGGCAGAGAAACAGAAACTGGGTTGTTGTAGGGGTCTCTTTAACTCTACTCCTGGAGGAATATATATATATATATGTGTGTGTGTCTGGATTGTTACAGACATACTTACTGACAGTTATTTTGACAAATAAAATATGCAGAATTTTGCAAAATTTTAAAATATAGTGCACAGAATTTTTAATTTTTTGGTGCAGAATGCCCCCAGGAGTATAAGAGTGTCACAGCTAAATACAGTAACTCCCCACTTAACGTCCTCTCGCTTAATGTTGTTTCCATCTTACGTCCCTGCTCAATTACAGAATATGCTCCATTTAAAGTTGTGCAATGCTTTGCTATAATGTCGTTTGGCCGCCTGCTTTGTCCACAACTGGCAGCCCCCCTACGCCCCCCCCCCACAGTGCCTCCCGCCAGCAGACCCCACGGATCAGCACCTTCCCCCACATCCCCCTGCCCGCGGCAATCAGCTGGCTTGCGTTCAGGAGGAAGGAGCGAGGACTTGGTGCGCAGGCTCCCCCTCCCTGCCTCCCAAACGCCGCAAGCCAGCTGATTGCTGTGGGCAGGAGGCAGGGGAGGGAGGGGGAGCCTGCGCGCTGAGTCCTCGCTCCTCCCCCCGAACATCGCAAGCCAGCTGATTGCCACGGGCAGGGGAGGAGCGAGGACGTGGGGTGCAGAGTAAAGGGGGTTGGGGGGGAGAAGAGGTGGGTTAAGGGTGGGGGCTTGGGGGAAAGGGTGGCGTGGGCGGGCGAGGGTTGAGCCCCCAGCCCCTGGTGCTTGCAGAGTAGGGGAAGCTGCCGCTGCACAGTGTATTTCTCCTAGCCTACAGCACCTTCAGCCTCCTTGCCTGCCTCATTGTCTCCAGTGCCAGTGGGCTGTGCCTGTGTGGCGTAAGGCAGGGGCACCTCCCAACTATAGTACTGTACTGCATGGCAAAAAAAAAATTTCCCTGGAACCTAACCCCTCTCCCCCCCATTTACATTCATTCTTATGGGGAAACTGGATTCGCTTAACATCGTTTCACTTAAATCATTTTTCAGGAACATAACTACAACGTTAAGTGAGGAGTTACTGTATAAGATTGAACAGATAGTTTAGTATAAGTAGTTAGCACATATTCTAAAGGACCATTAAAGGTGAAGTGGCCTGTTAATTCATAACTTTGCTAGCCAAAATGTTTGTGTACACTAGCACTTTTGTCGGTAAAACTTATATCATTTAGAGGTGTGAAAAAACCTACACCCCTGACCGACAAGTTACATAGACAGAAGCGCCGATGTGGACAGCACTATGTCGGTGGGAGACGCTCTTCTGCCGACATAGCTACCGCTGCTCATTGGGGATGGTTTAATTATGTTGACGGGAGAGCTCTCTCACATTGACATAGAGGGGCTACATGAGAGATCTTACAGCGGCATCTGCATTGGTACAGCTGTGCTGCTGTAAGGTCTTTAGTGTAGACCTAGCTTAAAAATCATGGTCTTAATAAAGCACTGGATTTATGGCTTATTTTGTCCTACGACTACAGGGGTGTTAACAGACCACTTCACCTTGAATGGTGCCTTGGAATATGTGCTACCTTATATTTAGCTGCGACACTCTGAGTATCTTTCCCAGACCTGAGGAAGAGCTCCGTGTAGCTTGAAAGCTTGTCTCTCTCACCAACAGAAGTTGGTCCAATAAAAGATATTACCTCCCCCACCCTGTCTCTCACACATCTAAAAGGAAGTTATTGTTCTACATACACTTGACAGACATTAAGGAGAGCTACGCAAGTGCATTTGAAGGAGGGGGAGGGGGTCAGCCGAGCCCTTAAACACCCTGAGCAGGAGTGGATCCACCTAATTCATTACAGCTTCAAAATCTTCAGAACAGAATGTTAAAAATCGTCAGAAGAGTAAACACTTTTCATCCTTGGCAGGAGCCAGGGTCATGGGCCTGAGTAGGCATCTGACAGAGGTCTGTTGGTTAGTGCCTTGGTAAAGGTCGCTTGGAGCTTTCATCAGCACTGCCGTTTGCAGTTTCTGAGTGGTCAATAGCTCCCTGGTGGTGAGGAGCGGAGCTGCGCTGGCTAGGCAAGAAGATTTGGTATAAAAAAGGTCATGTACTAGGTCAGGGGTAGGCAACCTATGGCACACGTGCCGAAGCACGCGAGCTGATTTTCAGTGGCACTCACACTGCCCAGGTCCTGGCCACCGCTCCGGCGGCCTTTGCATTTTAATTTAATTTTATTTTAAATGAAGTTTCTTAAAAATGTTTAATACCTTATTTACTTTACATACAACAATAGTTTAGTTATATATTATAGACTTATAGAACGAGACCTTCTAAAAATGTTAAAATGTATTACTGGCACGTGAAACCTTAAATTAGAGTGAATAAATGAAGACTCGGCCCACCACTTCTGAAAGGTTGAACCCAAGAGCCACAAATAGATGCAGCTAACAGTGGAGTTCCGGAGGGCGTAACTGGGGACTCTGTGTTTGGAGGTAGTGGGACTTTGTGAGTGGTGTGTTTGGTCTGTCTGTGGGTTGGTTGTTTGACTGTTTATTTGCTCTTTGTGTACAGGCTGCATAGCTGGGCAGTGGGCCCTTGAGTAAGTAGATGAGACAGGCTTGTTTGCTGGTGGCTTGGTAAAGGCCACACAGCTCTAATCCTTGGAGCTTTGATCAACTCTGCTGTTAGCAGTCTCTGAGTGGTTAATTGCTCCTTGGTGGAGAGAGGCGGAGCTAAGCTGAGCTAAGCAAGGAGATTTGGACTATAAAAAGAGTCACTTGTCAGGTGAACTTGAGAGGCATAAACAGAGACAGCTAACAGCGAGTTTCAAAGGGCATTTGGAAAGGAAACGTGAGAAGCTTTCCTTCCAGTGTCAGCTCTACGTGTGATTTCAAGATAGCCAGCAATGAACAGTGGTGGTGAATGCAATGGATGTGCCATGTTTTCTTTCATACCTGAACCCAGAAGGGACTTCCTGTGAATCAAGTGCAAGCTGGTGGCTGTGTTGAAGGAGAAGATTCTTGGACTGGAGGAGCAAGTAGAAATGCTACTGAGAATCAGAGAAGCTGAGGACATCCCAGGTAGTTAGGCTCAGGAAGTATCAGCATCCCTGATTCAAGAAAGAAAAGACCTTACCACGGAGGAGCTGGAGAGAGAGGAAGTCAGAAAGGAGGCCTTGGAGCACATAAGCACTGGAGGCAAGAGGTCAAAGTGACAGTCTACATGACTGGAGATAGAGAACAGGACTAGAAGGAATTCCACAGCTAAAAGTTTCCAATTGATACCACATCCAAAACATGGAAACTGTGGACAACACCTCTCATGATCCAGTTGGTCCAAGGGAATGGAGAGATGTATGGGACACACCTGTGGACAGCAGCTCAGCCCCACCTATAAGAAAAATCACAGAGTCCTCCAACCGTCCAAGGAAGATTCAATACGCAGAAGAACCCAAACATTCTGCAAGGAACAGGCAGACAGTAGGACTGTCACTCTAAGATTAGACAGGCTTTTTAAGTCAACAGGAAAGGATCCATTGGTGTTGCTTCATATCTGCAGTAATGACACTGTTTCACGGGATATCTTGCAGATGATAGATGACATCAAGGAACTCAGAAGCTTGCTGAAGAATGAGCAAGAGATCTTCTCTGAGATCCTTCCTGTCCTACGAACAAAAGAAGACCACAGGCAGAAGATTCTGGAAGTGAACCGCTGGCTAGGTAGGTGGTGGAAGGTTTTGGTTTTGTGGAACGTTGGTCTACCTTCTACGTGGCGAGCGGCTGAATAGTTTGGAAGGAAGACAGGCTGGCTGGAATAGTCAGGAGGACATTAAACTAATAACAAAAGGAGCAGGGGAGTGGAGGGGGTAAAAAGAGGGAGGATATGAGCACTCAGCACACAACTGAAATGTTGAGAACAAAATTAATTAAGGAACCAAAGGACATGAAGAGAAGAAATTAGGGCTGTCACACGATTAAAAAAAATCAACCGTGATTAATCACACTGTTCAACAATAGAATACCATTTATTTTAAATATTTTTACGTTTACTACATTTGCAAATATATTAATTTCAGTTACAACACAAAATACAAAGTGCACAGTGCTAACTTTATATTTATTTTTTATTACAAATATTTGCACTGTAAACAAAAATTTTTTATTTTTCAATTCATCTCATACAAGTACTGTAGTTTAATCTCTATTATGAAAGCTGAATTTACAAATGTTGAATTATGTAAAAAAAAAAAAGCTGCATTCAAAAACAAAACAGTGTAAATCTTTAGAGCCTACAAGTCCACTCAGTCCCACTTCTTGGTCAGCCAATCACTCAGACAAATAAGGTTGGTTACAATTTGCAGGAGATAATGCTGCCTGCTTCTTGTTTACAATGTCACCTAAAAGTGAGACCAGGTATTTGCATGGCACTGTTGTAGCTGGCATTGCAAGATATTTACGTGCCAGATGTGCTAAAGATTCATATATCCCTTCATGCTTTAACCACCATTCCAGAGGACATGCGTCCATGCTGATGATGGGTTCTGCTTCATAACAATCCAAAGCAGAGCGGACCGATGCATGTTCATTTTCATCATTTGAGTCAGATGCCACCAGCAGAAGGTCGATTTTCTTTTTTGGTGGTTCGGGTTCTGTAGTTTCCGCATCGGAGTGTCACTCTTTTAAGACTTCTGAAAGCATGCTCCACACTTCGTCCCTCTCAGATTTTGGATGGCACTTCAGATTCTTAAACCTCAAGTCGAGTGCTGCAGCTATTTTTAGAAATCTCACATCGGTACTTTTTTTGCATTTTGTCAAATCTGCTGTGAAATGTTCTTAAAATGAACATATGCTGGGTCATCATCCGAGACTGCTATAACATGAAATATATGCAGAATGCGGGTAAAACAGAAGATGACACACAATTCTCCCCCCAAGAAGTACAGTCAAAATTTAATTGATGCATTATTTTTTTAACGAGCATCATCAGCATGGAAGCATGTCCTCTGGAATGGTGGCCGAAGCATGAAGGGGCATACGAATGTTTAGCATAACTGGCATGTAAATACCTTGCAATGCCAGCTACGAAAGTGCCATGCAAACACCTGGTCTCACTTTTAGGTGACATTGTAAATAAGAAGCAGGCAACAGTATCTCCCGTCAATGTAAACAAACTTGTTTGTCTTAGCAATTAGCAGAATAAGAAGTAGGACTGAGTGGACTTGTAGGCTCTAAAGTTTTACACAGTTTTGTTTTTGAGTGCAGTTATGTAACCAAAAAATAAATAAATCTGCATTTGTAAGTTACATTTTTACGATAAAAAGATTGCACTTCAGTACTTGTATGAGGTGAATTGAAAAATACTATATCTGTTGTTTATCATTTTTACAGTGCATATTTGTAATAACAAATATAAAGTGAGCACCGTGCACTTTGTATGCTGTGTTGTAATTGAAATCAATATTGAAAATGTAGAAAAACATCCAAAAATATTTAATAAATTTCAATTGATATTCTATTGTTATAAGTGCGATTAATTTTTTTTAATCGCGATTAATTTTTTTTTAGTTAATCGCGTGAGTTAACTGCGATTAATTGACAGATTATTGAATTGCCTATACACCAATGCTAGGAGCCTGGGTAACAAACAAGAGGAATAGGAATTTCTCATTCATGAACATACATTTTATCTGGTTGGTATTCATGAAACATGGTGGGATGATTCCCATGATTGGAATGTTAAAAATCAAAGGTTACAACCTATTTAGGAAAATCGAGTGGGCAAAAGTGGAGGGGGAGTGGCACTATGTCCAAAATGGCATTACCTCTTTCCTATCACTGATAACCAGGAAGAAAATTATCTTGAATATTTACGAATCAATGTCCTAACAGATAGAGCACAAGATGGGGGTATCGATCTGTGTCTGCTACAGACCACCAAATCACGCTAGTGAACAGGATGAGTGGCTCCTATAAGGTGTAGGAAAAAACAGCTGTGTGATCCTGGAATACTTCAGTATGAGTAACGTATGCTGGAGGTCTCATGATGCCAGTATTAAAACATCCTTGGTATATTACAGGTAAATTTCCTAACTCAGAAAGCATTACATCCAACATGAAAGCAGTCTATACGAGACCTCATCTTGACAGATAAAGAGGAACTGATCACAGAACTAAAAATTAACAGTAACTTCAGTACAAGTTATCATGACTTGATCACATTTATATTCTGTTTGCACACTAAAGTCGAGGCCAATGATATACATATATATACTTGGGGCTTTAAAAGGACCAGCTTCACAAAGCTGAAAACAATTATGAGCCAAATCAACTGGGAGGAAGAATTTACTAAAAAAATGTGACTGATCATTTGGAATTGTTTAAGAACACTTTATTAGATGCTCAAAAAGCCACAACTGAGGAAGAAGGCTGGATTGGTTAAAAAACTAATTTGGTTTAGAAGGGAAGTAAAGGCAGCTATATATAATATATATATATAAACAAATGGAAGAAAGGGGAATGAATATAAATAGCAATGAATATAAATCAGAAACTAGGAATTGTAGAAAATTGATAAGGGAAGCAAAGGGACACAAGGAGAACTCTATGGCCAGCAGAATTAAGAACAAGAAGGATTTTTTAAAGTATATTGCAGAAAAAAGAATTCTAACAAGGCATTACTAGTTGGAAATGATAGAATCATCAAATATAATGCAGAAAAGGAAGAAGTATTCGGTAAATGTTTCTGCTCTCTATTTGGGTAAAAAAACAAAAACACACCAGATATATTATATAACACTTTCTATTCCGTTAGTATCTCAGGAGGGTGTTAAACAGCAGCTACTGAAGTCAGACATTTTAAAATCAGTAGGGCTGGATAACTTGCATCCAAGAGTTTTAAGAGCTAACTGAGGAGCTTACCGGATCATTAATGTTGATTTTCAATAAGTCTTGGAACAGCAGTGAAGTTCCAGAAGATTGGCTTTCTTCCAGTATTTTTAAGAGAGATGACTGGGTGATTATAGGCCTGCTAGTCTGACATGGATCCCAGGCAAGATAATGGAGTGGCTGATATGGGACTCAATTAATAAACAATTAAAGGAGGGTAATATATTCCTATCAATATGGATTTATGGAAAACAGATCCTGTCAAACTATATATTAGTGAGATTACAAATTTGGTTGATAAAGGTAATAGTATTGATGTACTATAGATTTCTGTAAGGTATTTGACTTGGTACTCAACACATTTTGAATAAAAAACTGACAAGAAAATTAACATGGCACATATTAATGGATTAAAAGCTGGCTGAGAGGTCTCAAAATGTAATTGTAAATAGGAAATCATCATCAAATGGGTGTGGTGTCTACTGGGGTACCACAGGGACCTATTCTTGGCCCTATTCTATTTAACATTTTTATAAATGACCTGGAAGAAGGCATAAAATTAGCACTGAAAGTTTCCAGATAACACAAATTGCAGGAGTGATAAATAAGGAAGAGGATAGGTCGCTGACAGAGAGCAATCTGGATCGCTTGGTAAACTGGGTGCCAGCAAACAATATGCATTTTAATATGGCTAAATGTAATGTATACATCTAGGAGCAAAGAATGGAGGCCATACTTACAGGATGGGGGACTCTATCCTGAGAAGCAGTGACTCTGAAAACGATTTGGGGGTCCTGGTGGATAGTCAGGTGAACATGAGGTCCCCAGTGTGGTGCTGTGGCCAAAAGAGCTAATGCAATCCTGAAATGCACAAATTAGATAGTCTTCAGTAGGGGCAAAGATGTTATTTTAACTCTGTATTTGGCAACCACTGCTCTAATACTGTGTCAAGGTCTGGTGTCCACAATTCAAGAAGGATATTGATCAATTGGAGAGGGTTCAGAGAAGAGCCACGAGAACGATTAAAGGTTTAGAAAATAAGCCTTATAGTGATAGACTCAAGGAACTCAATCTACTTAACTTAAAAAGAAAATGTTAAGGGGTGACTTGACTATACTCTTTAAGTACCTACACGTGGAATAATTAGAGAAAGGTATAGCAGGATGTTGAAGCTAGACAAATTCAGACTGAAAATAAGGTGTAAAAGCTGAACAGTGAGAGCAATTCCATTGGAACAACTTACCAAAGGTCATGCTGGATTCTCCATCACTGACAATTTTTCAATCAAGATTAGATATTTTTCTGAAAGATCTGGTCTAGGAATTATTTTGGAGATGTACTCTGGTCTGTGTTATACAGGAAGTCAGACTAGATGATCATAATGATCCCTTCTGTAATCTATGAAAAGGGGCCATTCAAATCCACACTCCAGGTCAGAGCTGATTTAATAATAGCCTTCCAAAGAGATGTAAATGCCAGGTTAGAGAGTGAAGCAGCAGCTGCCACAAGACGCTATTGCACCACCAGTACTACCAGAGAATACACCTCTAGAGAGTTCTTTGTAAGAAAATCAAGCCAGAGTCTGTCATCATGCTGTAGGTGCAGACTGCACAGTTGCGCAGTCTTGCCACTAGTGGACATTTGCTGAACACACCACAATTTGAGAGCTTTTACAGCATGAGCTGCAAATACACAAATAAATAATGTTTTACACCTTTGGTAACTGCTCCTTTAGTTGGCATGGCTTGTGGCTCAGAAGACAGCATCATAACAAATCCTGTGTTTTACTCTATATTAAGACTTTCTGATTTGGGGTTTAGCGCTAAATAATGTCACCTATAAATGATCTGCTACCACCTGGGGTCAGATGAAGGGAGCGGTGTGCTCTCTTCTTCTCAAATTCTGCCCACAACCCTGAAGTACTTGGCTGTTTCCACTAATATGATCAGCAGCTAAATATTTTTCAATATCATTGTTGGTTGTCTAAGATGTTCAGACCTTTCATAAGACCAAATGTGGCCCCTATCTTCTGCAAAGCACGTGTAAATGGGATTTGCACAGAGAATAGAAGAGGAACTGAAGGAAAACAAATATCCCCCACCAAGCTGGCAGCATGGTGTGGAGTAGCTGTTGAGATGCTCTGCTGCAACCACAGCCCATAAGCTGTAATAACAGTTGGAGGATCTGTGCTTCCTTGAGGTGGGGGAATCTGCCAAGTGGTGAATGCACTGGCCATCCCACTAATGCTCCCCCACCATGAAGCTCACAGTCTCATCACCGTTGCACAAAAGCTGGAAAGTAGTGGGGGATAAGTTGTGCCAGACCGGGGAATTGTGTGTGTCTGAGGGGGAAGGGATTACTTGCAGGAGAAGAGGCAATTGTCCTGCATTTAGGACCTTCCATGCTTGCATAGGTATAGGAGACAGCACTTGGCTCTTTTATTTCTGTCTGCAGACTTGGCATTGCACTGGGTGACACCTGGAGCAACATATGATTAATAAATTCATAGGCCAGAAGGGATCATTATTATCATCTAGTCCAGCGGTTCTCAAACTGTGGGTTGGGACCACAAGGTGGGTTGCGACCCCATTGTAATGGTCACTAGAGCTGGCATTAAGACTTGCTGGAGTCCAGGGACGAAGCTGAAGCCCAAGGGCTTCAGCCCTGGGTGGCAGGGCTCAGGTTACAGACCCCCCCACCTAGGGCTGAAGCCGTTGGGCTTTGACTTCTCTGCCCCGGGTGGTGGGGTTCAGCCTTTGGCCCCTCAACCCAGGGCGGCGGGGCTCAGGCTTTGTTCCCCCCCCCCCCGGGGTCGTGTAGTAATTTTTGTCATCAGAAGAGGGTTGTGGTGCAATTAAGTTTGAGAACCGATGCTCTAGTCTGACCTTCTGTTCAACACACACCACAGAACTTCCCCAAAATAATTCTTAGAGCATATATTTTAGAAAAAATGTTTAATCTTGATTTTAAAATTGTTAGTGATGGAGAATTCACCACAACGCTTGGTAAGTTGTTCCAGTGGTTAATTACTTTCACCGTTAAAAATGAACATCTTATTTCCAGTCTGAATTTGTCTAGCTTCAACTTCCAGCCATGTTATGCCTGTCTCTGCTAGACCGAAGAGCCCATTATTAAATATTTGTTCCCCCTGTAGGTACTTATAGACTGGGATCAAGTCACCTCTTAAATCTTCCCTTTGCTAAACTAAATAGATTGAGCTCTTTGAGCCTATCACTATAAGGTCTGTTTTCTAATCCTTTAGTTATTCTTTGTTGCTCTTCTCTGCAGTTTATCAACATCCTTCTTGAATTATGGACACCAGAACTGGAAACAGTATTCCAGCAGCAGTTGCACCAGTACCAAATACAGAGGTAAAATAACCTCTCTACTCCTACTAAAGAATCCCCTGAAACAAAATCTTACAATTAACGGGGTATGGTGACCACTGTGAGCCAGCTCAATCCAGGCCCAAGATAAGCTACGGAAAATGTGCCGTTTATATAGCCCTTAAGGTTAAGGACATTGTTAAAAGGAGGGGATGGAACTCTGCAGTGAGAATTTCTCAACTTTGTTCCTTGTTTTTAGCCAGATTTCAAAGAAACGTATGCATACTTTTTGTTTCCCAGAGGTCTCTTGATCTTCTATTGTCTGTGCCCAGGTCCTGTATCCTAGCAAAACAGAAAGAGGAACAATTCAGGATAGTACCATAAGGATTTTTCTTCTTGTGTTAGTTTTTCAGTTCACATAATAAACTGCACCTTATTAATCTCTGTCATATCACTTATGAAGGGGAAGCACTGTCTCCAGTGAAAAAGTTATTGTCCCAGCCTCAAACCTGGGTGAACTTGTAAAGGAATTAGAATAGGGACCAACCCATGCAATGGGAGCTCTAATCCCTTCTCTTGCACTGGGGCACAATGAAGTTTTCATTATCCCAAGCCATTCATTCCCAATAGATGAGTGACTAAACTCAGCCTGGACTTTCTCACTTGATGGCAATTGCATCAGATCCCCAGCAACTCGCCAAGTTGGGACAGCACTTAAGACATCAAAGGTGATAGGTGCCATATGAATTCCCAAGAGAGAATAAGGATCTCAGCTGCACACCATTAGTCCCACCCAAAGTCTCATTTTCCACCTCCCTCCTCAGTAACATCTCAGGCCTAACTAAATTTCAATATCAAGCAGCCAGCACAACCCTTTTTCAATAGCCCTCTGTGCTTCAGGCTTGGGAACCCAGAGTGTATAGCTCTCCTGTTCTAAATGGGCTGGACATCTACATCTTCACAGCATTACAACACTGAAGATATGGATGGCACAGTGTTGAGAAAAGCTACACCAGTGGTTCCCCAAATCCAGTGCCTAGTAAAGATATGATTGACTCAGATAACAGAACAGCTCTGGTCCAGGGTGAGAGGTCAAGTTCTATCATGGATTAGAAACTGGCTAAGAGACAGAAAACAAAGAGAAGAGCTAAATTGTCAATTTTCTTCATGGCAAAAGGTTAACAGCAGGTGCCACAAAGTTCCCTTTCAAGGATGGGGCTTGCTTAATGTATTAATTATTTGGAGGAGGGGTTAGTAGGGAGGTGACAAAATTTGCAGATGACACAAATTATGTTGACTGGTCAGAGATAGAGGCAATGGGGAGAAACTTCAGAGGGATCCTAACAAACCTTGGGTAAATGAGCAGCACGATGGCAAACGAATGTCAATGAATGTTGATAAATGCAAAGATATGCACAATGGAAGGAATAATTCACTATTCACATATACTACTGACTTCTAAATGTACTGTACAAGCGAGAAAGATCTGTGGATCACCGTGGGCAGAACCAGTCAAAAAACAAAAAAACAAAAACAAAATAAAATTTGAATGCTTAAGGAATAGGATGGTGAAAAAAAAGTTATAATTAGGGCTGTCAATTAATCGCAGTTAACTCACGCGATTAACTCAAAAAAATTAATCACGATTAATCACACAGTTAAACAATAGAACACCACTTGAAATTTATTAAATATTTGTGGATGTTTTTCTACATTTTCAAATATATTGATTTCTATTACAACACAGAATACAGTGTACAGTGCTCATTTTATATTATTTTTTATTACAAATATTTGCACTGTAAAAAGATAAACCAAAAAAAAAAAAAAGGTATTTTTCAGTTCATCTCATACAAGTACTGTAGTGCAATCTCTATCCTGCAAGTGTAACTTACAAATGTAGATATTTCTGTGTTACATAACTGCACTCAAAAACAAAACAACGTAAAAGTTTAGAGCCTACAAGTCCACTCAGTCCTATTTCTGGTTCAGCCAATCGCTAAGACAAACAAATTTGTTTACATTTACGGGAGATACTGTTGCCTGCTTCTTATTTACAATGTCACCTGAAAGTGAGACCAGGCGTTCGCATGGCACTTTTGTAGCCGGCGTTGCAAGGTATTTACGTGCCAGATATGCTAAACATTTGTACGCCCCTTCATGCTTCAGCCACCATTCCAGAGGACATATTTCCATGCTGATGATGCTCGTTAAAAAAATAATGTGTTAATTAAATTTGTGACTGAACTCCTTGGGGGAGAATTGTATGTCCCCTGCTCTGTTTTACCCACATTCTGCATATATTTCATGTTATAGCAGTCTTGGATGATGACCCAGCACATGTTGTTTGATTTACGAACACGGTCACTGCACATTTGACAAATGCAAAGAAGGTACCTGTGATGTTCCCCTCTGGTGTTATCTAGACCGGTGATCTGCTAGGTCACTCCAATCCTTGACTCTGGGAACCAGCCTTACCCTGCTCTGCTGTGAGAACCCCCACTCCTGGGCTGTTCACGCACAGGCTCTGGCATGTAAGCTGCTCCCAGCTACTTGCAACCGAAGGACACTAGCCAATATCTCCAGTCCCAGAGACAACCCTAGGAACCTCCATCTTGCATGTCCAGTTATGCCCCCTGGACGCTGCAAGCTTATATGATTTCGTCAATTTAACAGAAATTGATATGTACCAGGCTTGTTATCCCAAGGGGAGCCTCTGACACACTTCAAACCAAACGCACTGCTTTGGGTAGAATAAACAAATTTATTAACTATAAAAGATAGATTTTAAGTGATAAGTCAAAACAAGTTAGATTTGGTCAAATGAAATAAAAGCAAAACGCATTCCATGCTGATCTTAACATTTTCAATGCCCTTACAAACTTAGATGCTTCTCACCACAGGCTGGATGGTTGCTCTTCAGCCAGGCTCTCCCCTTTGATCAGCACTTCAGTCGCTTGGTGGTGGGGTCTGTAGATGTAGGTGGGGGAGAGAGAGAGAGCTTGGCAAATGTCTCTCCCTTTTACCATGTCCTTTCTTCCCTCTTGGCTTTGCCCCCTCCCCCCTCCCACCTTCAGAGTCAGGTGAGCATTACCTCATCGCAGTTCCAAACTGATCAAAGGAAGGAGTGTGACTCCCTCGAGAGTCTAACATTCTTTTGTTGCTGCCTAGGCCATCACCCTTTGTTCCTGTGTGGTTGGGATAGGAGGTGCGAACTACCTTTCTGGTCTTGGAGAGGTTTTTGCCTAGGCTTATTTTAAGCCATGGGGATATATTTTCAGCCTCATAACGACATACATGAAATTATAACCTATAACATCACTATAACAACAATGCTCAGTGCATCATGAGCCTTCCAAAGACACCCCACATGACAAACTTTGCATTGGATGCCACACAATCATTTTACAAGGATGAACATGGGGGTGCTGGGTGTCCCCCCGAGGTATAGAGCATCACAGTACCAATGTGAGATTTCTAAAAATAGCTACAGCACTTGACCAAGGTTTAAGAATCTGAAGTGCCATCCAAAATCTGAGAGGGATGAAGTGTGACGCACGCTTTCAGAAGTCTTAAAAGAGTGACACTCAGATGTGGAAACTACAGAACCCGAACGACAAAATAAGAAAATCAACGTTCTGCTGGTGGCATCTGACTCAAATGATGAAAATGAACATGCATCGGTTCACTCTGCTTTGGTTCGTTATCAAGCAGAACCCGTCATCAGCATGATGCATATCCTCTGGAATGGTGGTTGAAGCATGAAGGGACATATGAATCTTTAGCGCATCTGGCATGTAAATATCTTGCAACACTGGTTACAACAGTGCCATGCGAACGCCTGTTCTCACTTTCAGATGACATTGTAAACAAGAAGTGGGCAGCATTATCTATTGCAAATGAAACCAAACTTGTTTTTCTGAGCAATTGGCTGAAGTAGGACTGAGTGGACTTGTAGGCTCTAAAATTTTACACTGTTTTATTTTTGAATGCAGGTTTTTTTTTGTACATAATTCAACATTTGTAAGTTCAACTTTCATGATAAAGAGATTGCACTACAGTACTTGTATTAGGTGAATTGAAATACGATTTCTTTTGTTTTTTTACAGTGAAAATATTTGTAATCAAAAATAAATATAAAGTGAGCACTATACACTTTGTATTCTATGTTGTAATTGAAATTAATATATTTGAAAATGTAAAAACCATCCTTCTATTATTGTTTAGCAGTGCGATTAATCGTGATTAATTGTTTTAATCGCTTGACAGCCCTAGTTATAATGGCACTATTAGAGAGACAAGGTGAGTGAGGTAACATCTTTTACTGGACCAACTTCTGTTGGTGAGAGAGAGAAGCTTTCGAGCCCACTTTATCTCTTGAATATCCTGGCATCAACATGGCTACAACTACGCTGCATTCAATAATGGCATGATATAAGTCAGAGGCTCTCCCTCACTGGGTATATGATGTTCAGTTCTGGTGGCCACCCTATCTACTTCTGTATGACGAGAGATTGAAAAGATTGGACCGTTTAGTTTAGTGAGGTGATAGAAGAGCAGGGATATGATAGCAGGATAAAAAAATAATGACAGGCCCAGAGAAGTTGGATTCAATGTTCCTACTTACCCTCTCAATAAAAGAGCAGGGGGACAACCAACAAAATTGAAAGACATTACATTTAAAACTGATAAAAGAAAATATCTTTTTACACAATGCATAACCAACCTGTGGATCTCAATGCCACTACACATTATTGAGGTCAAGAGCTTAGCAGGATTCCCAAAAGGACTGGACAGTTATATGGACAATAAGACAACTTTACTTAGTTATTGCAGGCAATACAGTATTTGCATTACTGTACACTTCTATTTTTTTTTAAACTTTCTTTCAACCTATAAAGCCTTTTACAGGCTGCAGTACCACACAAATGTGAAAGAGAAAAATACTGCTGTAGGTGAGTTTCTATTAGCAGAGATAGCAGTTTCACTGTGGGTATGTCTTCACTGCAGAGTTAACTTGAGTTATACACTCAAGTTAGTCAAGCTCAAGAGGCCACACTGTGAAATAACATTTGAGCTGCTGTGTCCACACTGCCGTTGCACTCACCCTCATGTAACACTAAGACATCTGGGGACACATCCCACAGTTCTCTGCACTGCAGTAAGCTGAGCTGCTCTGCAATTTATTGGGGAAGAATTCATAAAGAAGCTGTCTGTCCTTACAGGGGGAACTTTGGGACAGCATTGGAGGACCAATGGTACTCAAGTGGAGCTAGCCTATGTCCACAGTACAGCAGTCATATTAGCAGCTGACAAGTGGCACTAACTCAAGCTTTAATTTA